ATAATAATATTAGTATAGAATTATGATGTCGCGGAGAACCTAACGGGTAACCGGGGCTCCGACTCGACGTGCAGGAGAAGGAACGGGGTGGTTTTTAGTCAGTAAAAGTCTGACACTCCCTCCCGCCTCACCCAGGCGGTAGCAGTCATTCGATGATTTTCCCCCCATAAAAAAAAAGTATAGAATTATGATTAGTGTCTGCCTCATCCACAGACAATATCACTCTCAGCCTCATTGGTGGAGTGCAGAACAAAGGGGTCTTTAATACGACTCTTGGATTGAATAACAATTACATTATGTGGTTTATCAGTCAATTTATCTTCATGTGCCTGTATCTGCGCATTTTACATGAATATTTTTATTATTTGCCGCTACAACATAACATTCCTACTTATATACGAAATATTATCAAGTCATCCCCATTACATAGGACACAAGAAGTTTTTCAATTGTGATACAAACAATAAACATGATAAATACTTTAATTAAAAACCTTTATTTATATAATTAAAGAAAGAATACCACACAGTAAAGAAAAAGAAAGTAAAAATTACACACACTAACTAAATCAATAATAACTCAAAGGTTTCACAGTTGTCCAGTTCATGTTAATACAATAAATTATGTGAAGTAATGGTGGTTTGAATAATTATTAAATAAATAAAATATATAAGATGTCAGCTTAAATCTACAAGACTCAACTATGTCAATATATATTTTTGGTTTGAAATGAGGTCAAATACTTGTTTTTTGAACATTTACCAATTAATACATAGTGTTACAGTTCATATTGTGTAACTTGTTGCACTGTTATTATGATTTATAAAAAAAACTTCTTAAATTATAATAATATGATCGAGTAATCTACATAATTTAACAAATATGTTTTAAACTTACTCAGTCTTACTTTGTCAAGTTTTTTACTTGACTACTCATTTTTATATTTTGCAGCTAAAGCTTCTAACTTAGACAGATTTTTCTGCAAGTCAGCATTTTTATCTAATTTTAAATAAGTGTTGTTTCTTATTTCATGTAACTTAACGAAGTCTGGCAGCTCCTCAGTAAGCACTTTGATATCCTTTTGCAGATCACTTGCAGGTATGTTAGCTTTGAAGCTGCTATCCAGTTTAGAGAGGATTATGTTTAGAGCTAAAACATTTTTCCTCTCAGTCACAAAGATATTTCGCAAAGTACGAGCTAAATCTGGCAGACGACTGTAAATCAAATACTTTTTATCATTCTCAGATGATCTTGTCATGGCTTCTAAAGCTTTGGCCGCTTGTTTAGCTTTTACCTTTTCCAAGAGAGAGGTGGGCAGATTGCGTAGTGCGGGGTTCACAATAGTCACTGCACTAGTGGAAGGCTGACTTGTCTGTGTACTGGTACTTGCCATACCATTTATACTAATACTTGGTTTGCTGTCTGTCATGCCAGTTGCAGCCATTTCTTGCTGAGTGAGGCCACGAGCTTTTGCCTGAGCGAGTTTTTCTAAAGCTCTTTCCATCTTTGTGTTGCATTTGAATAATTCTCGCGCCTTGGCCAGGACATCTTGAGCACTTGAGAATTTTTCAACATTTGGCATTTCAGGTAACTTTGCACTCTCAACCTCAGGTATCTTCTCAATATCGAATTCAGGATGCCAACGAGTCAATTTATCATCAGGGATCACCATTGGAGGGTCAAGCGTCTGCAAGTATTGTGCATGGTGCTTCTTTACTAACTGAAGCAAGATGTCGTAAAAGTATCTACGCCTTTCTAGAAGTACAGTTGGATTCATGATTTTAATATCATTAGGGAAGTTAGGTGAGATCAATAATTCATATTGTTCTTTTTGATTTGAGGCACTGAAATTCTTCACTTTTTGGACTTCATAATTATAGAAATCAGGTACTAGATGTTTTATTTGAGCCAAATGTTTTTGAGTAAATGAACGCTTGAGCATCTCTTGTACTGAAGGTCTGAGTTTAGCAAAAGTTATCTTTTCATTTCTGTTGTAAAGTAAAGCAACAACAGTCTCCATGCCGCGGAACAGTTCAGCCAAGAATCTGTAGTGGTGAGGCAAAGGTAAGCTGCTGGATGTGGATGCAAGGGCTGCATGTCTGATGTATGCTGGAACCTGGAAATATAAAACAAAATATTTAACACCACATACAAGCCAAATTTAAGCTTGGCAATGGCAGATACTACAAACGGTGATGTACACCGTATACATTTGCAACTTTACTTCCTTTCACCTCTATATTGCCACAATATAATATGGGCCTTCATTGCCTGATATAAATAAATAAATAAAAAAAATAAATATAAGACAGCAGATAATGCATTGTCTCGATTATATCTAAATTCAAATGTAACCGGGGTTAATGTACATAATCCCATAAACTTTGTATTTATCAAAGTGACAGGGCTTAATCTAATACAACATTTGCATTACAATGATATTTTTAAAAATTAAATTAGTGAATACAAACCTTGCTAGGACTTTTAATAGGGCTGACCACCACTTTTCTAGGTGATATAAGTGGCCTCTGTGGAGTTGCTGGGGCTGGCATACATTTCTTTGGAGATAAGAATTCATTCTGCTGAAGCTGGGCCTTCTTACTGGGACTGAAAATAGAACAATAAATGATATTATTGTATGGAAAATAACAAACACTGTTTTATTATACACAACAAATCTTTATTCTGAGTGTAAACACCCAACATTATCCCTTTGTAAACAATGCTATAGTAAGATCATAGAAAGACAACATAATCCATCTTTCACCTTGACTCTTCAATGATAACAACCTAACAAGACCTACGGGTTATTCAATATCTAATCGATTTGCCTGGTTTACGTAAGAGAGATTTATTCAGTTGCAGGAAGGCATTGCATGAGTATGCTGCAGTCCTTAAGACTATAATAATTATAGTATATAGTAGAAAATGGGTATCATTACACACCTCACTGGTACTTCCACATCAATAGATTTGAATTCTCGAAGGTTACGTTTTTCACTGGCTTGCTGCAGATCCTTTATGCCTTTGCTCAGTCTATCAGCAGTAGCTCTTAACTCAGCTAACCTCGAACTTCCAGCTAGTTTCTTCCTTATGTCACCAAGACTTAATTCTTGACGCGAAGTCACAGTCATCTCGGTTTTAGACGCCTGGGTGGTTTTAGGTGTGTTGGAGGCATTCACTTTCTTACTAAATGCTTTTGGCGCTATCGATTCTTGTTTCGTTTCTTCTTTTGATGAAGCATACTGAATAGCGCTTTGTTTTGGTTCCTCATGTTTAATCGCACTAGATTTAGTAGGTTGTAGGGAGTCTTTAGCTATAGTGTCACATTTTGTTTCTGAAAGAGATTTACTACTTGGTAGAGTTCGATCGATGTGTGGTATTTTGCTTTTAGAAGTAATAAGATCCTCAGATGCTGGCCTTTTCCTGCTCTGAAAAAATGAAGTAATAGATGTCTGCGACATCGTGGTGATGATTTATTTGAAAGATAAATAAATTCCTAATATAATTGTACTAATTCTGTTTCTCTGACACCACTTTTTTCCCTCCAAAACGACCGTTGGCACTTCACTTGGTGCTGTTGGCGACAAGCAAGAAGTCGCGCGCTATTATTTGTCAATCTTTAATACAAATGTCAGCTATCACTGTCAGTGTCAGTTATTGGTAAAATAGCTCTATTCTATGGCTTTCCTACTCTATTATCTACTGCCAGAAATATTGCGTGTCCAGTATCGCCGCGTGTCGTGGCTAGAGATGGACGATTTTTCAGATAAATACTTGTAAACGACCAAATTCGTTTGACAAACTTGTTTGATGAAATTCACGTTTTCACCAAACAACAGCGCAGACGAACAAACGTGCATCAAACAAGTTTGTTAAACAATTAGCCAAAATCAATTTTTACCTCGTCGAGGCTTGACGTCGTTGTGTGGCGTGCTTAAAATGAGCAATATAGACGACACATTTTTAGTGTTGGCTCTATCACTAATACTATGTATTAAGAAAAGGAAAATAAGAAGATGGACTAGAGAATGGCTAAAATTAAGAGATAAATATACCCACGAAAATTTGCCACGAGAAATATTGCTCTCAGATCAGAACAGAACCAGAAGAATAAATCAATAAATGACCATCTTCGATAATTTGTATTGTAACTTTCGTGAGACATACTAAATAAATTATTATGTTTTCGGCTTACTCACGTTGTAATTCGACGAGGAACTCGACTAGTTTCAAGCCATGCTAGAGGCTCATATTCATTCATGAGCAGCATTTCGCGACCCGCGACGCGACGCGAGTAGCAGCGTGACAGTCGACGCAGACTTGAAGTACGTCCCGCTACGTCCTCCATGGTGTGATCAACGAATGAGATCTTGTTTGACAAACACAGCGGAACACGTTCAAACACGTTTGTAAACGCTACGTCAATCAAAATTCTCTTCAAACAGTTCAAACACGTACATATATAGAATGTTTGACAAACGCTTCAAACAAAGTTGTACACTATCAAATTATTTGACAAGCACGTAAAATTTGATAAACAATTTGATCGTTTACAGAGCGCAATTGCAATTGCAATTGCAATAATGCTAAATAATACCAAGAAAAAATTATAAATATTCGAGTAAAAACGGATATTTACTCATTATGTATTTGGTATTTATACATTTTGAATATAGTATTTGTCCGAAAAATCGCTGATCGTAACGTGTCGTGTCGCGTCCTGGCGTGGTGCAAACTACCAACGACCAATTGCGCCAGTCTTAGCGGTAGTGGCATTATGGCATCCCCTATACTTATTATACTCTTTGATTATGGCGCATCCATGTCTCTGCAAATGTGTCTCTATCGTGGCTTTTGATGGGCGATTTTTCAGATAAATACTCAAATACATGAATATCGAGTATTTATCTACTTTTTAAGTAGTTGATCTAATAATTTTTGAATGATGACGAATATTTGAGCTGTATTATATTTTAAGATCATAGGTATACTATAAAATTATTCTCAAGGATGTTAAAAATTATAACGTCTTTGATTATTCTATGGTTAGATTACCCCTATACTTACTCTTTGGGTAACATATAGAAATCGTTGTTGATGATTTTTGACATTTTTATTGTTATAAATCACAGTAATTCTGTGTTTATTTTTTAAAATTCTTGAGAATTTAAGATAAAACACCCTCCAGAAAAGTTAAACTAATCATGTACGCGAATGTGTAGTGAAGAAGAATAAAATGTCACCAAAGCATCGTGGAAGCACAACGAGTGAGTCGAGAAAGGGTACAATAGTAGTACCGAGTAAAGTACATAGTAAGACTGGCAGTACCACCAATCCAGCTGACCTTGTGGGAGTCGAAGAAACAGAAATTACTGCACAAATATCAGTACCAACTGAAGGAGGGTGGGGATGGGTCGTTGTTCTAGCCAGTTTTTTGACTATCTTCGTCCTTGATGGAATTTACTTCACGTTTGGCAGCGTGTTAAAAGAAATGACCTATGACCTTGCAGTAGACGAATCTTTGGTAGCACTTGTAAATTCGATAGCAGTGGCACTTTATTTTGTTGGAGGCCCTTTAGTATCTGCCCTCATTAATAGATTTGGATTTCGAGCTATTGCCATGACTGGTTCAATAACAAGTTCCATGGCGTTATTAGGGACATATTTTGCTGCTGATTATATGTCAATCCTATTTCTATATGGACTTGTTGGAGGCGTTGGAGCTTGTTTATGTAGCATGCCGTCGGGATTAATAGTTGGCTTTTATTTTGAACGACTTCGTTCTCTGGCAATGGCAATATCGAGTACTGGATCAAGTTTAGGAATCATGGTCCTGTTTAGCGTAAACACATATATTGTTAACCTGGCTGGATGGCGTGTGCTAATGCTATTTCATTCTGGATTAGTAGCTTCAACATACTTCTTTACTATGTCTTTTAAACCTTTGCTATCTTTGACTGTAACCACAGCACCAATAACAGATACTACTACTGCGACTACAGAACGCACACGCACAATAACTTATTTACCAAGTTTGGGGACTATTAAAACACCATCTAAAACGAAAAAGGATGAAATTAAGGCTAGTGCAGCGGAACGACTCTTTAGCGCAGTGTCTAATGCGCACTTTCCTACTGCGGCGGCAGTGATTGGAGAAAGTGTAGCGGTGCAACAAACGGACCAAGCGGGACAAACGGGTCAAATAGGACAACCGGGAACATCGTATGCAGCTGTTCCGTCGAGGCTTATCGTAACAGCACAAGGACCGCAAAGTGGAATGAGTAAGAAACAGTTAAAGCAAGTGCAATCATTAGTATCAAAGTCAAGAACAAGTGTACCTGAAAAAGATAAAGAAGGAGCAGCTGAGAAAGTAGAATTAGTCATTTTAGAAAAAGGAAAGCCGCAGAAATGGTGGCAGAAATTATTTCATTGGGAACAGCATATAGCAGAAGCGAGGCCTATGTATCGTGATGACGCTTTTTATGAGGGTCCCTTGGACAGGTTACCTGTTTATCAAAAAAGTATGATGGATACCACACCTGCAGAAAGAACTGGTCTTGAATATCAGATGGCCGTTACACGTGCAGTGACCGCTGCAGATTTAGGAGAAAAAAGAGGAGTTTACACTTCTGCTGTAAGAAGAGTTCTAGCTACAATGATGGATCCAAAGCTATTGAAACGACGTTCTTTTCTATTACTATGCTCTAGTGGATTCTTCACATATTTAGGATTCTTAGTACCCTATGTATATTTACCAGATAGAAATTTGCAAGAAGGAATAGATCCCACACATTGCAGTTTATTTATAAGTGTCATGGGTTTTGCAAATGCGTGTGGCCGTTTGGTTATAGGTACGATTGCCATGAAAGTCAACCCTGTAAATCTTTATGCACTTGTGTGTTTAATATCTGGATTAGCAGTAATAGCATTTAATTTCTCGTTCAATTTGTATTATCAGTACGCAATATGCGTACTTTTTGGATTCCATATAGCCAGTCTAAGTTCTATGCGAAGTATAGTAATAGTTCAATTGTTTGGTCTGGATATGTTAACTAATGCAACTGGTGTTATGATAATGTTTCAAGGTGTAGGAAGTCTAATAAGCACCCCACTGTCTGGGGTTCTCAAAAATCAACTTGGTTATGATGTATCTTTTTACGTAGCCGGAATTTTTGTTTGTATGAGTGGCATTGTTTTAGTCCCAGCTAGCAGACTGAATGATATTGAGAAAGAGAGATTAAAGGAAAAAGAGCAAGCAGAAGAAACTAAGAAAGTTGCAACGCCGACTCTTGCTCCTGCGTCATCATGAAATTGTATTTATTGTCCTTTCTTACTTATGTAAGATAAAGAATATTGTACAATATTGATCAAAACTCAGACTGAATAGAAACCTATCTTGTGAATCAACTGAACTTAATCATGTGATTTAGAAAAAGCGATGTATATCAGTATAAATATACTACAACTACTTACATAAGATTTCAAACGGTAGAATTTTTAATAATTTCATTATTTTTAATACTAAGGTATTATTATCAGTACCTTTTCAAGATTCGCCATTATATTATTACATATAATTAATTATTGTACTATGTTTTTCACTTGATGAAATACGTGCCGTTGGAAAGTCTGCACAGTTATTTGGTATGCAGGTAAGATAATTAAGATGGACTCAGTACATAGTTATAGTAAATATTGTAATCCAAGATTATAATATTATTATTGTTAACAATACTATGTACATATTTTGTCGTGTCAAGTAACAGTAGCTAACCAATGACTACTGTCTTTGTATCGACTGAGTCTATCTTATTTTTGTACTTGCATAGCAAATAACTGTGCAGATTGCACTTAAAGCGGAAATATAACTAACATATTATATTTTATAAATAACTTGTCATGTAGGCATATCTTGATATTCTGTAATGATTACTCGTAATAATATGATTATTTGACTTGGTAGTTTTACTGAATTTTATAAACTTTCGCAACTTTTTGTATTAAATTGCACTAGGTACTATATGTGTAAATACAATTAGAAAATAGTTCAGGAAACAGTGAGTAGAGTGCTCTAAGATCAAAGGAGGATCCTCCGGCCGTCCTCCGACAATATTATGTATGCTTTTGTGTTTCGTGGTGGCCTAGAGATTGAGGCGCTCTTCTCATTACCATTTACCAGTGTATGGCTTCGAAACTTGTAAGTATATGGGGTAAGTACTTGGGTGCTTGTCGCGGCGCGGAAAACTTTTTATGGTCCCGTGCCTTGTGTGTGTTTATGGACATTCACAAACATAGTTTTCAACTTTAGACACCAGTAACATAAGGACGACTGCCTCGCCGATTGGTGGCAAGTGCGACTTCAGGACCAGGGGTCTCGGGTTCGATACCCGGGTCGGGCAAACTATTACTAGGTTTTTAAAAATAATTCTCAGTAGTAGCACGGAGTATGGAATAATGCCCGGGATATGGTAATAGGCTCAGCCCCTATAACATGGGACTCATAACATAAATAGTGAAAAATGGGTGTTACATTGTACAGTGGAACTAGTGCCGTAATGTGCACCTCTGCCTCTCCCTTCGGAAATAAAAGGAGTGATGTTATGCCATGACATAAGTAAGGTAAGGAAAAGATTTTTAGGAAATCTTGAACCTGAAATGAATTCCTAATCAAAATCAAAAATCGCCAATTCGCCAATTCGCCTTGAGTAAATTGGTTATGTGGCGTGGCAGCAGTGGACACATATAGATAGGCGGTTGATATTGATGTTGAATGTGTTTAGATTCTCATACCGATTATTTTAGAATGATGTGATGGTTAATTAGATGTCTGGGATTCTAACCAAATATTAAAAAGTAAAAGTATCGTAGCCAAGGGGCCAAGGAATCATCAAAGTAATCAATGGAGTATCAAGTATCATCAAAACGAGAGAAGCGCAGAGCAGTGGCGCCCTCCCTATCTGCTTTTGTAACGTTTGGGCGTTTGCTTTCAATGTATAGTGGTATATTGATAATTGAATAACCTAATAAAAATCTGTTTGTTGGAATATAAATAAAATATTAAATTTAATATTAATACTAACATTTCAGATGCTTAGTCAGAGTGGTCTATGGATGTGTTTTAAATTTTATTTTCACTAGCAACATTTTGAGTTCATGTTCGAGCGCATTTTGTTCTGCGACCGGCCGCCATACTCAAACAAAAAGATTTGAGATGAAAAGATAAATTTATATATATATTGGCGTTGTTGAAAGTGTTTAATTTACTAAATGAGTTCTAAATCAGATGTAAATAGAAGAGTGCTCGCCATTCAGGCGAAAAAGAAACGGCATAAACTCGGTAAAAAGAAAAATCGCGAGGAGGACCACGGGGCTGGTGTACAAGGAAACGGTCTGCGCAACCAGAATCAGAATCGTTTAGAACCTACACATAGTTCTTCCAATGAGACGATCGAGGAGGATGAGGACGAGCAATACGCGAGTGACGACGAGGAACAGGAGGACAGCGCCGACTATTGTAAGGGTGGTTACCATCCTGTCAAAATTGGAGACTTGTTCCTGAATCGGTACCACGTCACTAGAAAACTGGGATGGGGTCATTTTTCCACTGTGTGGTTGTGTTGGGATCTCGTCGACAAGCGTTTCGTCGCATTGAAAGTCGTAAAATCGGCTCCTCATTTTACGGAAACTGCTTTAGACGAAATAAAAATACTCAAAGCAGTTCGGGACAGCGATCCATCGGATCCCAAAAGGAATAAAACCGTTCAGTTGCTTAATGACTTTAAAATAACTGGTGTGAATGGAACCCATGTGTGCATGGTGTTTGAAGTTTTGGGTCACCATCTATTGAAGTTGATACTCAAGTCTAATTATAGAGGTATACCACGAGAAAACGTCAAAACAATCATACGTCAAGTTCTTGAAGGCTTGGATTACCTCCACACCAAATGTAAGATAATTCATACAGATATTAAACCTGAAAATGTATTGGTTTGTGTTGATGAATCTTACATCCGTAAACTGGCAGCTGAAGCTACTGAATTACATTCCTTAGGCTTGAGATTGCCTCACTCCTTGATTAGTACTGCACCAAAGGAATTTCAAGAACAGGTAGTCACTGCTAAAATGAGTAGAAATAAAAAGAAAAAGTTAAAGAAGAAAGCTAAGCGTCAGTCAATGTTACTTAAAAAACAAATGGAACAGATTGAGGAAATGGAAGAACAGAAGAAAGTGGTCAATAACAGTGAGTCTGCACCCATGTCACAGGACAATGATGATTCACCTCCAACACCTGAAGAGGCCAGTGTGATTGAAACAACCCGCTCTGACACTGAAACTAACATTAATGGTTGTAATGATGAGAGAGCTGATGAGGAAGCTTTTGACACTGATGCAGATGCAGTACAGGTAAGGACTAAGCAATATGGCTGTGGAGATGATGCAGGAACCCCTATGTCTGAGGGAGAAATGACTGATACTCCACCATCTTTTAATTCTCAGTCTACTAAAGGTAAATCCCTGGATAAGAAATTTGATCCGGCTTTTGATATCTGTGACTTAGAAGTAAAGATTGCAGATCTAGGTAATGCTTGTTGGGTCCACCGACATTTTACTGAAGATATACAAACCAGGCAGTATAGATCACTGGAAGTTTTGCTAAGTGCCGGCTATGGGACTTCAGCTGACATCTGGAGCACTGCCTGTATGGCTTTTGAGCTGGCTACTGGAGACTATTTGTTTGAGCCGCATTCTGGAGATGGATATAGCCGTGATGAAGACCACCTTGCTCACATTATTGAATTACTAGGTGACATTCCTAAAAGAATTGCCGCTTCAGGAAAATATTCAAAGGTATTTTTCAATAAAAAGGGTGAGTTGAGGAACATAACAGGCTTAAAACCATGGGGCTTAGTATCAGTGTTAACTGAGAAATATGAATGGAGTCAGAAAGATGCAGAAGATTTTGCTGATTTCTTAAAACCCATGCTTGATTTTGACCCAAATCGGCGAGCCACTGCTTATGAGTGCCTTCAGCACCCATGGTTAAAACAGGCTGAACCTGAACAAAACGAGTCTGACAAATAACATTATATTGCTCTCTGAAATGAATGATCATACATTCATGAAATCAGTAGTGTCAACATACAAAGTATTTCAGTCTTATACAATTTTAATAAAAAAGTTTATTTATGGATTTCTTTGTGAATAATTTACTTTGTATCTTAGATTGTTTTGTTAGCAATCCTGAATTGTTGAAAATAGAAATTGTGTATGACTACTTAATGAAGACAAGTTGTTAAACTTCCAATACACTTGTCTGACAATGCTTGGCAGCAGAGTATATAATACATCAGCTGCTCCACATGTTTTATCTGGACATAATATATAACAATTGGCAATATTATAAAACATCTTAAATTACTCAAACTGAGGTGTACAGATAAGTTTAGGAAAAATTGTGATGTATGACATGTAGACAATATAGGTTTTGTCACATTAATCTTTTAGGTATTTAGTTGACATAATGACATAGCTCTGCACTTAAATACAAGATCCTAGAAGGTGAGGAAACTAATATAATGAAGTCATGCATGCATAGTTAGCCTTTCAGGAAGTAGAATGTTCACATAGTTTAAGTTTGTGTTTTATCACTATCACAATAAAAATCTCATTATGTAAACTTAGGAATAAGACAGTATTTGTAATGCCACACCTCCGAGACTGCCTTTTTATATTTCGATGAGTCATCAAAATTTAACAATGGCTGGATTGAAGCTATTCGGAGATGGTATTAGACAGTGTCCTCTAAACCAGCTGATAGTATAATTATTTATCATAGATCCCAATTTACATGACCATAATTTGTATTAATTATATCTGCAAATTTACATGAATAAAATGTCCAAACGAGCTTGTTACTATGTTTATTTTTGTTTTTATTTTGTAATAAATTTTCTGTCGTACTAATCCTCATGCCTCTAAGTAACTAAAATCACAAAGTACAACGTGAATCTGTTTAATTTCTTTTGTTTTCTGTACATAAAACAAGAAGAATAAACATGGCAATGCAATGTAGCTAAGGCGCGGCCGGAAATATTACTGTAAGGATTGTTGCTCCCGCAAAGCTCATTGTGTCTAGGGTTTAGTATTGTGACGCGGGAGTTAGATTCCCGTTACGGTTACGCGCACGCAGCATATGTAGGTATGTACTCAGTTATAGCAAGGTATGTACCCACATTGTGTTGAATAAACAATGTGTTATCCACTTTACTTGCTATGAACTAAAACTAGATATGTCTTTATCTACGTAACTATATGTGTACTGTGATTATTCCACATCACTCGTGTCATGCTGACTGCTGACTGCCAATGCGTGATACACAAATCAAATATTGCAGAGATATCAGATGAACGAAGTTGAGATAAAAGGAATAAGTAGTTTTTAACCAACTTCATTACAAAAATATTGTAAGTAAAAGGAATTCATAACAAACGTACTATGGATGTTTTTAATTCATTAAGTACTTCAATATAAACATGCTAAATTCTATTATAACAGCTACTTCCGTGCGATTTTCCAACTGCTCTGATCCTATTGGTCTAACTAGTATGTTATTTACAAAACCCATTAGATAGGTTTCCTCTATATCCTCGATCCCTATCGATAAATGGACTGTGGACTGACTAAAACAAAAAAAAAAAAAATATTTCGCACCAGTTAGGTATACCTATATTACTAATTAACTAGTTTTTAACACCAGCGCGGTTTCATCCACTGCTCCTATTGAACGTGTCGTAGTCGCGGAGAATCTAACGGGTAACCGGGGCTCCGACTCGACGTGCAGGAGAAGGAACGGGGTGGTTTTTAGTCAGTAAGAGTCTGACACTCCCTCCCGCCTCACCCAGGCGGGAGCAGTCATTCGATGATTTTCCCCCCTTAAAAAAAAAAAAATTGAACGTGTCGTGACGTTTTAGGTACCTATAGTACCTATAGCGTATCTCGATAAATGGGTTATCCAACACAAAAATATTTTCGAACCATTAGCTTGAACGCGCTAACGTACAAACTCTTCTTCAGCTTTATATTATTTATATGAGTATAGATTTTGTGACATTCTGTACATATAATAAGATATAAGCATATGGACTCAGAGTGCCGACCTACCGAGTCAGGTATCTACTTGTGTAGGTAGGTAGTTAGTAGGTAGGATCTATTTTTGTTTGGTTAGGTACCTACTCCAAATGTAACTGGTTGTTTTGTTCTACAAATTCTAAAAAAATCTACCAATCGGGATGGCACCTATTTATCTACTAATCTCTTGTTAGGTACAGCAGATACCTAGTGTTGATTGTTTGTTGCGGAATTCATTTGAAGCAGTAGCACGCACTAAAGTGTATAATAAATATGGGAGTATACTAATGTTCGAAAGTAAAATGACGTGTAGTCACCGTTCTATGCTGCAGTGCATTTCAAAGATAATTTATGGTGGATTTAGAGTATTCAGAGATTGACTATTCTATTCAGCATTTGAGTCAATGAGTCATTAATAGGTAGGTACAAGCCAAATGTCTGATCGCGACCGATAGGTTGAGTCAGTTTATTATAAGATTCATATACTGAATAGACTAAACCAATAATAGTAGTTGTATTGTTACTTCTTTGTGATAAATCTAGAAATGTGTAGATACAAATATCTTGTGATTAAAACAGGGACCAAGAAAGTTCAATACAAAAATCACTCTATTGTGGCATAACTAAACGTCGATTAGGCGCAGTACAGACCAAACGTATAGACAATTCAGTGATTAATTATAGCATAGCGTAAAATATTTAGTAAATTTTTCTTATAACAAAATAAAACAAAATTAAAGTTCTTTTTCGTAGGTAGTCGATTGTTTGTACTACATTTTTCAACGTCCTTGCTGTGTTACTGTTATCTATAACCTTAAATTCTCGTTATATCGAATGAGCTTTTTTTTGTGTTCTGGTAATTTCTGTTATTTTGTTACCGAGGGTTTTATATGGCAATATTTTGGAGCTGTCAAAATTAATTTAAAAGTGTTACTAACACTTTTTTAGAAGTTTTAGTAATTGTTTGTGTTACGTATGTTTTGTGATTTTTTATTTTTATAACGATTAATTACTGATTTTTTTATATACCAAGAAAACTAAATAATATAAGTAGTTTTGCATGAGACGACCAGCGAATCGAATTTATTCTGAATTCCATACCATAGTAATATAGTACTAGTGTTTACGTTCCTTAATTATGCTTGTCAGGTCACTCGTCCGTCTAGAAGGCATTGGGGGAGGCTCATAGGGGGAGGGTTCAGCAGTGTACATTATTGTACATTCTTATGGCTGATACGATGATGAATAATATTATGATGATAAGTATTAAAAATTCATGAAAATTAACCCAATTCTAGAATTCGTGCTATCTATTCTAATAGGTACATATAATTCCGAAATGTAAATACCTACCTATGTTGTAATATAATTATATCAAAATAATCATTTATGTTGATTATATTCAAGTACCTAGTTTAAGGGTAGTTACTCTCGCATTTTACTTGTGAAATCAAAGTTGTTATAGTTTGGCCTTTTGGATGTTAGTTGTCACATCCACCGTCATCCACGTCTGTAACAATAATAAACAATAATCTCTAGATTTTACTCGTTCCGTCTTGGGTTCGATTAGGAGGTTGGCCAAAGAATTACCTACCTATTTGGCATTTTTAGTTTCTCAAGAAATTTTTATTGCTTAACTACCTACTACGTAACAAGTAAGTATGGACATAAGCTGACTAGGCAGGCATTTATGACCTTTCCAAGGATCTGCCTACCATTTTATGAATTAGGAGGTGTGATTTTATGAATATAACAGCCACTATCCTGGATTAGAGATGTTTTGAATATCGGTCCTGAACAGGGTGGATGAAACCATGGTACTGACATAAATATGGTTTTAGTACCTAATCTAGGAATCGAACTGATACTCGGCTACTACTCAAGCAAAAGATACGGACTTACTATGGTTTTAACCTGGAAATCGATGGTAGTGGAATTTGTTTGTATCGCGTATTGCTAATCTATTATGTATTTAGCCATTTTGCTACGGTAATACCGATCCACGATGTTATCAATGAGAGTTTTTGTAAGGTCAGAAAGTTGGCATCATTTGGCGGTTTTATGGGTATAACGACGCATGCGCGAAAATGGCGGGCGACCTTCCCGCGTCCTTACCGCCAGTCGACGGCTCACGCCGCGCGGCCACACATGTAAACACCGTGTAGCAATAATACGACCGATTCACTCTCACTTTCGTCTCGTGTCACCGCGATCCTCTTCCCCATTACCACCTACTACCTAGGTCTTAAGACTGAAATTGAAGTGTATGGTGATGTGTACTTGATCCTACCAAAGTGAACCCACAGCTGACCGGTACCGGCGTATAAAATAAGGTTTGTATAATAAAAAATCACTGTAAGCAATTAGGTAATAAGGTTGAATGTTTAATGCGCTTTGAAATGTTATTACTTCACTAGTAACGCTTTTCCTTTCATTCATACTTACATTATTAAATCTAGATTATAGTCTGAAACGGAAATTAAACATTTAAGGTCATGACCTTGAACCTTTGGTATAGGTCAAGTGAGATAAACAATAGGTTTATGTTCTAGCAGAATTACCATTTAATTTTCGTGCTAGTAAAATAAAACTAGGTACTGGTCAACTATTGAATAGAACGAACTGAATAGATTTAATTTTTTCGAAAGGTTGGTAACGAAATTACTACGCCAATTTTTTAGACCTACCCTCATCGTTATTGTTTACAAGTAGGACGTTACGTAGGTTCAAGTCGATCTAGAGGGCTAGTAGGTTACAGCATTAACCTGAAAATATTAGTTTTTGTTAGGTACCTAAACATGTTTAGTTTTATTTCCCAATGTGGTTGACAGAGGCGCGTGCCAGGTAAGTAAAACTTTCAGACGGGTGTCGCGGGGGACCTAACGAATAACCGGGGCTCCGGCTCGACGTGCAGGAGAAGGAACGGGGTGGTTTTTAGTCAGTAAGAGTCTGACACTCCCTCCCGCCTCACCTAGGAGCAGTCATTCGATGATTTTCCCCCCTTAAACTGTCAAACACCAAGCGGTCACCGGTGACCGCAACCTATTGTTCTATAATTGTGTCTACAAAACCGGTACTCGACGAGTTAAACTGTCAAACACCAAGCGGTCACCGGTGACCGCAACCTATTGTTCTATAATTGTGTCTATAATGACGGTACTCAACGAGTTAAAAAAAAAGTCTAATTTTAATAAACTAATTGTGCATTTTATTGTTAAAGTAAGATGCAACGTACACGTTGCACCATCTTACTTACAGGCTGGGTTACAACCCAGCCTTAGACTAGTTTTGATACTTGTAAGCGCTAATTAATACTTATTTTTATGTGTCGATTGCGAAAATATACAAGGTACTTAGTTATATTGTACCTACATTAAATCAGTTACACGATCAGGTATAGGTATTCAATCGTTTGAATCTTAGTAGGTAATCTTAACAATCGTTACACGCTTACACGTTAGGATTTGATAAGTAATAAATTGTTTAACTTTAAAACTGGTAACGACGTATCCATTTTAGCTGTTTTAAAGCTACTTGTCGTTATCATTACAATTTTGTGATAAATGAGTTATGTGATAAGTAAAGAGTTTGTAGTTGCGCCCTGTTTTATAATTTTAGGACCTGCTAAAAATTTTTCAATAACTGGAATTAATACTTACTAACACGTCTCAGGAATCGAACCTGAAATCCTTCTCTAGGTAGTTGTGCTTGCCATTTGTTGACTGACGCAACCCAACCATCAAAAAAAAGAGAAAAAAGTAGTGTACCTATGTAATACGGGTAACCGATACATTT